TCTCTCTCTCTCTCCCTCTCTCCCTTTCTCTCTGTCTCTGTTTCTGTCTCTCTCCCTCTGTCTCTGTCTCTCTCTGTCTCTCTCTCACTGACTCTGACTCAGGGGGCTTTGTGATATCTTAAGTTTGCTGTCTAGATGGACGATCTGATATAGAAGGTGTTACTTCTATTCCTACTGCTTTTGCAGTGCAGGTTTTCCAGCCGTGTGTTTTGTTTCTTGGTTTTGTCGTTTTCTGCAGTTGTTTCTCTGATGTTCCTGTGTGAACTGCCCATTCACAGCTTGCCACCTGAGTCCCAGCCTTCATCTTAGCCTAATGTGCAAAACATCCGTTTGAAGACCCGACATCGTTACACTCGGTGAAGACCAATAACACGAATTCCTTTTAAACTGCCATTTGTCTCACTCAACATTATGACCTTTGTTTTTGGGGTACAGTCTTCTTCCCCTGTGTTGATATTCTTTTAAAACCCCATTCCAGTTTGGCCTCATTTACCCCTACTTCCCTTACCTGGATTCAGATGCTGCATCTATCTGAGGATGGATGGCGCAGGCTTAAGTTTCCATCCTATGAGCTTGAGAGCTGACTTTTATAGCTGAAGCTGAATTTCCAACTCATGCACACAGTTCCTAGCTCAGTTCGCAGAGTCTGGCCCAGCAACCATCGTGCACTACACTATTCTTAATTGAAAAATGTAACGCCCAAGACTGGATTTGCTAGGAACTGTCCCACAGGCTGAATCCATCTAGATCTGCACCTTTTCCCAAGACCACCAAATGTCTCAGAATGGCTGTCCTCCTTGATTGGGGGGTTTTGCTCTTTATTTTGATTTTGTTATTGTTTGTTCTTGTTCGTTTATTGTGGTCAACTTGACACAGCTTGGGAAGAGGAACGTCACTGAGAAAATGCCTCCATCAGGTTGGCCTTCTGTGGGACATTTTCTTGATTGATGGTTGATGTGAGAGGGCCCGGGTCACTACGGGTAGCGCTACCCCTGGGCAGCTGGTCCTGGGCTCTATAAAAGAGCAGGCTCAGCAAGCCCCTGGAACAAGCCAGTAAGCAACGTTCTTCTATGACCCTTGCTTCTGTTCTTGTCTCCTTGAGCTCCTGTCCCAACTTCCCTCAGTGATGGAGTGTGACCTGAGAGTTTATTTCTGAGTAAACTGAAATAAATACTTTCCTCTCCAAGTTCCTTTTGGTCATGGTGTTTTGTAACAGCAATAGAAACTCCAACTAAGATAATGGCATATACATTTTCCCAATGTCTTTTATGAAAATGTTACATTTATGGAAAACCCCGGATGGAGAAAGGAAAGCAGTGATGCTGTGGGGTCTGGCTAGGAAGAGTAAACTACTTTTAGAGGGCAAGGACAGCCCCTCATTGTCAGTTAAGAGAGGGCCAGATTTCTCACTGACCAGCAGCGTCCTTCACTTTGAAAAGACATAGAGTAGAAGAAAGAAAGAAAAAAAACAGCCAAACAAAATACTTCCCTATTTCTTTTGGCACTACAAAGGGTGACATGATTCAAAGGCTGAGGAGTACATGGTGTGCCTCAAAGATGTGTTTCTCAATACGGATGGAAAAGCCCACCCTGCCTCAGGCCTTCGCTGTACAGGTGCTGTGTGCAGGGATCCTGGCTTCGGTGTGAGGAGGCCAAGTTACCGTCCTACAAGGAAGGGTAGCCTAATAACTTGACCCCCAAAGGTGCTATGCTGCAGGTTATGACACCTCTGACCAGATGTCCGAATTAGTAAGTGTCTTAGAAAGTGCACTTTTTCCCACTCCAGCTATTTCGTCAGCTGGGGTTGTCTGGCCTGCAGAGATGACACAATCTCAGGAGACCTTTGCTTTTCTCAGCTTGAAATGATTTAGTGTAAATGATCTCGCCCAGCTGTGGAAGCTTTGTAAACCAACCAAACAAAAAGCCCCTGGAAGTGCAATGGGAAAGATTTGTTTTTCCGGCAGAGTTTTAGGATCAGAAGGCCTCACAGAGCAGAGGCCCTCTCATTTCCAAAAGGCAAATCTCAGAATTTGTGATAGAGTTTATGAAATATTACGGCCAGACCATTCTTTGTTTTTTGCCTCAGTCCAGTTACCATGCAGTGCTCCAAGAAAACTTTAATCCCACAGAAGAAGAATTATGTGCCTGACTCTTCCTCCCTGACCCTGGCTCCTCCTTCCTCTCTCCCTCCCTTCACTCTTTCTATTCTTTTTTTTTTTTTTTTTAAAGATGAAGCCTTTGAAACTCACCTGGTACACGTGGTGAGGTTTTGCCTGGACTATGGCCACATGGAAGGATAAATGCCATTTTTCTTTTCTTTTGAGATGCAGGGCACACAGAGTGAAATGTGTAAAAACAGCTACACAGATGGCTCTGTGTTTCAACAGCATAAAGCATGTCTGGTCTGCTAAAGACCAAGATCTTTCCACGTTTTTCACACGTGGTTATGTGGGCAGCGTGGGTTACTCAGCAAGGCCCTGATAGACCTTGAGTCCATGATGACAAGCACGGTACTCAGGAGGAGAGGAAGCAGGTGTTTGTATTCAGCAAAATACCCTTCAGCTCTGGGCAAGGAAGAAAGAGATCTGAAAAACACTGAATTTTCTATCCACTCTATCCTTATAATCTTCTCAATTGACCTGAAACAGCCATATGACTGGTGGACAAATAAATACAACCCAAGATTGTGTCTACTCACTGCCTGACACCTCAAAGAGGACTTTGAAGTGAGAAAATAAACTTTAAAGGCAGGTTTTCCAGAAAGGGAAAACCTTTCTTTCTTTCTTTCTTTCTTTCTTTCTTTCTTTCTTTCTTTCTTTCTTTCTTTCTTTCTTTCTTTCTTTCTTCCTTCCTTCCTTCCTTCCTTCCTTCCTCTCCTTCCTTCCTTCCTTCCTTCTTTCTCTCTCTCTCTCTTTCTTTCTTTCTTTCTGTTCTTCTTTTTCTCCTTCTCCCTCTCCTCCTCCTCCTCCTCCTCCTTCTTCTTTTCTTTTGTGTGGTCTAGAGAATCTAATTTCTGCCAGAATGGGAGAGTCTCTCTCACTTCTTCCACAACAAGCAGGGCTTGCTACAGGATGGACAGACAGAGAAATGACAGACTAAGAAAGGAAGTAGTGACTCTGGTGCTGGTTATGGGATGGAAATGAGAAAGAAAGAAGATGATCCATGCAAGAGTCTGATCTGAACTTCTTCACCTCCCAGGACTGGGTGCCAGGGAAGAGAGGGGGAAGAAAAAACTGTCGGGTCCTGTTCACTTCTCCGCAAAGTGGCCACTTGCCCAAGGTGAGGCAGAGCCGTACCACAACTTGATTTGGCAACCAATCGTGATTAGTCAGAAATTATCCTGGAATTGTGCTTTTCAGGGTAGTGTCTGTCACTGCATGACAAGGACAGAAACTGGACGACCCTTTATCTCTGGATTACAACAGAAGCAGGGAGGAGGTGAGGTGTGATGAAGAAATCAGGTGATTTGTAACCAAATTACAGTCTGCCTATGGGGCCTGGCTTGGGGAGGTGAAACCGGATTCCTAGTCTTGGCTTAGAATAGATTAGCAGATGAGGAGGCCACACAAAGGCCAAGGTGTTTGTTTTATTGGCTAGAGCTAAATTAAGGAAATAATACCAGGCTCTGTGGTATCAGCCCGAGTCCCACCAGGGAAGGCTCTTGGCAGCAAGAGAAGACAGCACCATGAACATGAAGACTCAGTAAAGGGAAGCAGCTTGGCTCTGATGTGCCCAAGTGCCCCTTCGTCTGATGCTCTGGGAGATGATCAAGGCAACCCCAGGACACTGAGCACTTCATTAGATAAAGAGCCCAACATAAAATGTTCATTTAGTGTATTCATCATCATTGTTTACTTGTTTGTGTGTGACAGATCCAACCCACATACTAACTTGCTCCCTTCCTGCTTCAGACTCCCTAGTGCTGAGATTACATGTGTGCCACGCCATCCAGCCCTAAAATGTTCATATAAATCATTGTGGTGATCAGCTTCTGAGACCTCATTCCAAAGACATACCGGACTGCCTGCCTTAGATGCTGCGTACATACATTTCTAATACAAACACTTACGAAACGGTATGCGCGCGCATAAATGACAAAGTTAACGATGGGGTGGGGTGGAGGAGAACAGGTAAAATACTTACCACACTGTCTCCATCAACAGTGGAGTTCCTTTGCCAGGGAAACACTACCAGGCCACAGCTTTAGTACTAGGCTTATGGCTCCCTCTGAAAGGGCAATCACAGATAACTCTTACGGATAACTTGCTCTCAGGGAGAACTTGATACTAATCATGTACCTCAGAATGAATTTACTGATGTTAATACCAAAAGAGTTAGTACTTTTAAAGTTATTTCTTTTCTACCTTTAAAATGTATAGTCATGACCATTATGTCAAAGACCAAAGGAGCTAAGTAGGAATGGAGGCTGACCTTCCGACCTCTACTGAGGCAGAGGTTGGGCATATCTCCATAGTGTTTTATAGCGTGACTTGGGAGAAAGAGGGGTGAGCTAAATGTCCACCTTAAAGGACCGACGCCACAGAACTCTCAGAGGATGCCTGCCAAAATGGAAGTAAGTGGGGGGAGGGGCTAGAGAAATGGCTCAGAGGTTAAGAACACTGGCTGATATTTTCCAAAAGTCCTGAGTTCAATTCCCAGCAACCACCTGGTGGCTCACAACCATCTATAATGAGATCCGGCATATGGGCATACATGCAGGCAGAACACCGTATACATAATAAATAAATAAATAAATCTAAAAAAAAAAAAGGAAGTGGGGAACGAGGTCTGGATTGGAGGCAGAGAGGTGACAGAGCCTGGTATAATATTTTAATGGGCTGGGGAAGCACTTAGGAGCCCAGCGGTAACAGGAAACGGTGAGATGAGGATGTAACTGAGTGCAAGGTCAGCGTGCCAGCTTCCACTTCCACCAGGAATCGTCACCCTTCCAATTTTCACTTCTACTTGTGATAGCAGGGCTAGTGATTTTTGTTTATCATGGTGGTCATCTGAGAAATCTGGAAAGACAGCTATGTGGTGACAGCTAAGCTCATGGTCACATAAAACCTGTGTAATCCCTGTGACAGTGGGATAGCCGTGTGTCTCAGGTTGACAGGGACAACTGTCACAGAGTAATGACTAATAATAACTCCGCTTCCACTCTTGATGTCCTAGCTGAGATGTCCAGCTGCAGGATCAGCCTGGTTACACATCTGTCAGCCATATCTAAGGCAAATGGACCGGCTCTATAAACAGCAGAACAAACCAGTTGCGAAGTTGAAAGCTCAGAGCGTACAGCACTGAACTTCACGTTGCTTAACTACCACAGCTCTATGGCTGCGGCCTGTTTTAGTGCTAGCACAATAAAATACTAAGTCCTTTCAACCTGGTGGCTCTATAAGCCCTAGAGTAAGAAGTGCAAAGGTTGGTGACAATGCCATCTGAAAGATCTGGTAGCATTGGGTGGAAATGACTGTCTGTCACTTAACTAGAGGGAATCAAAGCCCATGTTACACAATGGCAGAATACTTAAGTACTCAGTGTTGGCGGTTCCATTAAGTACTCTGTAAAAGATTTGTAAGTGGCAATTGCATTGGAATTGTATTTGTATAAGGTTGCACTAAGGTGGAAGTTGGCTGATGCAGAAAATCAGGTGAAATTGTCTCTGTGAGAACACATGAAAAGTACCATAAGACTGAGCTTTTTGTCAAATTGGTAAGTAGGAGTACTTCTTTTATTATTGGGGTTTGTTGTTGTTTTTAACTTACTGGAAAACATCAGACATTAGCAGACTTTGTTTAATACCCTGAATGACATGCTAAATGTAAACATTAGACTCCTGATCCACAGCTGAGTAAGAGCATGTCCACGCAAGCAATTCTTAAAGTATTCACTCTGACAACAAATATTGAGAAATTGCCCTTTTAGTGAAAGCAAAACAAAGAACATGAAAGATCATGCTTATATTAGCCTTGGTTCTGATTTACCCCACACTTGGATTGCATAGTCCCACAGTCAGGGATTGTAGCTACCTTGACTGAATCTAACAGTAAACTAGATCGTTATAGTCTCAAATTAAATGTGTGTTTATTCTCACATTAAAGGTTTATACCCCCTGGGATGCCTCGTCTGGGGTCTGAGTAGAAGGAGAGCAAAGCTGGGAATGAAGAATGAATGAACAATAGA